GAGGAACGATAGAGGGGGGAATGTAGGTTCTTTTCAAAAACATCGTCACCTCTTTCAATTCGCAATTCGTTTCGTGACGTGACTCGACCAATGGCTAATTTTTATTAAAATTTCCAACAACGACCAATTTATTTCTCGACCAAGCTGCCGATCGATCTGAAGATCCCACTGTGCATCGTCTGTAATTAAAACTGATGTCATCGACGATGTCGAGCCGCGGAAACTTGCGAGCTCAGTCTCGTGAAATATTCCACCAATTTGCACCGTATGGGCTCGATGGTATCATCGTCGGTCAGTTGATAATCACGATCGCGTTAATTGAGGTTAATTGAACGATTGAACTATCTCCTTTCGATTTGATCGTAACGAGTTTTATGGTTCGAGGGTTCCTATAAAGGCCGACCCTCCCCCGGGCGAGTCAGGAGCATCGTTTACGTTAGGGGACAGAATACCAGAATAGCGTTTTTTTATGCTCGTCGTAAAAAGAAGATCATGGCTCACGATTTTCGTAAATATTAATATTCAGACTTCGCCCGACGCGAACGTACTTTGAAAAATCGCGAATACAAAAATAGACATACATACCTGGTCAAGAATCGTTAACATAACTCAAGACACTGGAGTACTTATATATATAGTTAATCCCGCTGTAATAAAAAATTTAATTTTTTCTACCTGCCGTCCTCTACGAGTCGTTCAGTTTCGAAAACGCATTTTTTTCCGGCGCGGGGGGGAAAAAAAAAAGTTAAGCGAGCGTCGTCGATGGAAAAATAGGGCTGTTTTATGGGAGAGCAAGTGACGCGTAAAGTGCGTCGTGCGCGGTTATCTTATTTATACTCGCGTTCGCACGGTGGAGAGAGAAAACACAATGGCGGGAGGGGGGAGGAGAGAGTGCGGTTAAATTGAAAGAAAAAAAGAAGGGGTAGAGAGAAGGAAAATGCAAAAGAGGGACGCGATTAGGAGTGGAGGGGAAGGCAAGTTGCCACGTGGCACTTTTGCACGTTCAACGGATAAGTGTTTGCGTTTTGCAATTACTGCTGGCCTCACCTGAAATGAACTCCCGCGAGTAATTAACCTCTCTGCTTGTTTAGACCACGTGCGAACGAATCTCGGTATTTTTCTTTCGAAAATTTTTTTTTTTTCTGATACCTTGAGAATGGCAGCGAAGATCGAGTTTAATATACAGGGTGTCTGTTCCTGTTGAATAAAGTTATTAAAATATTTAACAAAACATTATAACCATTTAATAAAATTATTATACGATAAAATTATATATAATATGAAAATTATATATTATATATAATAACTATAAAATTATAATTAAAATAATTGTATAAAATAATAGTTATATGTAATGTATGTATATATAGTTATATAATAATAATTATATAATTATATAAATCAAGTTAATAATAATTATATATAATATTAAAATTATATATTATATATAATAACTATAAAATTGTAATTAAAATAAAGTTAGTAATAATTATATATAATGTTATATATATGTATAGTTATATAATAATAATTATATAATTATATAAATCCAGTCCAATGATAATTATATATAATATTAAAATTATATATTATATATAATAACTATAAAATTATAATTAAAATCAAGTTAATAATTCAACTTGGCTTCGTGGACGTACACTTTTTGTATTTCCTTCTTTCACTTTTGCGTACGACGCATTGAAAATCGCGAGAACGTTATTTGACAGCAACAGAGGTCTTTTCTTCTTTGTCGGTTGAGATCGAGGCAAGATTGAGACGTAAAAGATTGAGGAAGTGTAACAGGGTTATGCCGCGTTTTTCATTGTGATCCTGTTGAATCACGATCTTGTCGGAAGATCGTTTTGTGCAGGCATTTTCGGTAACAAAGGTGTCATGATTTATGGAGGATTAAGGCAGGTTTCTATCGATTAGAAAGGGGTCGACTCGAGACGGGGATCGTTTTAAAAGTCCTTTGCAGATAAAATCGCGATTATAGTCGTTCCTGGCTCCATTACTGGCCCGGCGTCCCGATAAAAATCGCCCAACATTATTAACTGCCCTTAATTCGCGACGTAATAACACTTACCTTGCGAAACAAAGAACGCAGAACGTACCCCCTAACATTTCTAACGCAGCCTTCCTTTATTTTATCACCTCGCTCTGTAAATATCTAAAAATTTATACGAAAACGTTATGTACGTCTCTCGGTGAAGAGAGTGTTTCTACATTTTTTTCCGCAAAGAATAATCGAAAGTTTCACACGTAAAATCCAGCCACGTGCATCGCGATGTTACGAGAAGATGTTGGACTTAGGAGGGGATTAAATAATGGAGGAGGAAATAAATTTCCGAACAGGTTCGTGTGCATAAATTCGAAAAAAATAGAGGGGAAAAAAATCGATATCTATTGATGTACTCTCAACCAGAAAATCGACAGGGGTTGGGTCTGGGGGGTGGCGATCGTGCGGCGAAATAATGCTCGCCGCTAATGGGACGTTCTTGCGTGGAAACCTAGAACTGTGTCTTCGCGCATGCGTGTGTCCTTTGCTCTTACATGGATCCCCGACAGCCGAGATTTATCGCGTCGATTCCTCGGTCGGTTTTCAAGGCAAAATAGCGACACATTGTTCCGCGTCCGCGTTGAAAAATCGCCACCTGTTCGATTTCTGCCTCGATTTTAATCAATTTTCGACCATCTCCAGTTGCCACGCTAGGGAAACACGATTTTTCAACAGCGTCTCGCCCGCTCTGGGGCTCAGGTGCCACTCCGCTTCGTTTACGTTTCCTTCTTTCTTTCCTTCTCTTTTTTTTATTTATTTGTCGTATAGCAACGATCGCACTGCACGGAGATTTACAAGCAACCCTTTTGTTCAGGGTTGACTGTTCCACACTGCTCTTGTCTTTTCTTTTCTTTCGATTTGGTACACTGGAATTTTTAAATTGAGGCGTGAAGTAAATCGAAGGTCTTCGTTTGCCTTCATTGGTTGACAGTTGAAATGCAAAATTTCTGTGACAGAAATCTTCGTGGAATATTTGATATTCGTGCAACTGGTTAGAATTGGGCCAATTTATCATTTCGGGTCTGCTAAATCTATTCCAATATTCATTATTTCGGTAGTTGAAGTCTACTTGTGTTTCTTTCGTCCACGTTTTTCATGCCAAATTTTACGCGACACCCGTAGTCGTTGACGCGACGTGTCTTTTCAAATGCAAAGCAGGTGACCGCGGCACACAGGTGGACGTGGCAATTGACCGTGTGTAGGTATCAATTACACGATGTTTCTCTTCATTAGAAAAAGCTGGATGCCTGTTATCCCGGCCAATTACTTGTAATACCCTTGAATTTTCCCAAAATTGTTGGCCTGCGACATCGGCCGCTGAAGCAAAAATAGTCGTGGTAGAAATTACTTGAAAAAATACTTGTTACGGGCGTTGCTCTGTTTGAGAAATGCCTGCATGTGCACGGGAGAACTTACACTGATAGCGCAATCGCAGGGGCCAACCCCCTGGCGCGGTCATAATTGCACAAGTGCACACGCGACGATAACTGTAGCGGCTTGTTATTGCGGTTCCACGGTTTGACGCGATTCCGTTTGTTTATGGGTGTGTGTAACCCATTCTTCCTTCCGTGATATCGTCGACCCTCCTGTCGATCCATCGATCCAACCGACTAACTTACACGATTTTCTCACGCTGTCAATTTATTCTGTTAATTTATTCTATTAATTCGCAATTAATTATTCAGATATCAGGATAATAATATCCCTGAATTTAATAGAAATCGAAAAAAATTTTTTTCGACACGCGCGATTTCTACAACGAATATAATAAGCAAAATCCCAAGTTATTCAGCAGATTTTTGAAAAATATAACCGGCGTGGCTCTAAACTTTCGGTATAATATTTACCATATTAATGAAGTGCACGGGATTTGTGCCTGTGGCCAAAAGTTTCCTTAATTTCGTTGTTGGTTTTTGGAAGTTGATTAATCCGGAAAATAATTAAGGGAAAGGGCGGGCGCAGAACTGGAAGGGTTTGCTGGTCTATCCTTTTGCTGTTGTCGGGCAACAAAAATCTAATTAAGTCGTCAAAAGACCGTGTCCCCGTTTGGGCGCGAATAAAAAGCGGGAAACAAATTTTCCACTCTCGGGGTAGGAATTTTTTTTTTTTTTCCCCACCAGGTCCGGTATTTAAATACACAGAAATTCCCGCGGAATTGTTCTTGCGAAAGGCAAAAAAAAAAAAAAAAAAAAAGAAAAGAAGAAAAAAATAAAAGGGAGAAAGGGAACATCAACAATTACAACCGTGCTTGGTCGGTGGTGCTCGACAAACCCGCCTCTCCCCACCAAAAGGAAAAGAAATACGAGAAACTCTGGCGGGGAACGACCAGGAAAGAAAAGCAAAATCCCGCTGAGGAGAACAATCAAGTCATTAGTAAAAAAGAAAGAGGACCGGTGCGGTAGCGGCGCCACCCCCCTAATTACCACCGAGCTTGGCTCGCTCGCACAATCATTACCACTGGCCCGCCTCTATTTACCGCTTTCCCTTTCGACGTGCGCCAGAAAAATTCCCAAAGAGATTCCGGTCTCCTTCGTCTAGTCCCCACCGTCGTCGTCGTCTGATCACCCCACCGAATGCCAGTTGGTCTCGCTCGGGAGCAAATCTCGTTTTACCAAATTCGGAAATCGGCGGAATCGTCAGCCCTTCAGGGACGCATTGACGAGGGTACAGGTCACTACGCGTCGTTCCTGAATCGTGTCCTGCTCCCCCCACCATCGAGCTCGTGGCGTGCCCCCCACCACCGTCGAGCTCGTCGCGCGCTCCCACCACCAATTGTGCCTGAAAGGGCGCAACTCGCGCTCGGTCGCGTTCGGTTCTCTTCGGCGGTGCTCGGCCACGCTGCTGCTCCGCTTGACGGCAGCCGTGCGTCACATGGAGGGGGGGAGGGTGTGTATGTGTGTGTGTATGTGTGTATGTGTGGAGTGGGTGGCATGAGCCTGCCTGGCGGGTCGCGGCACTTGGACACGCGATCGTCGTGCGGTGCACACGCTCATCCCAAATGCCTAACCGGCTGCGGTTATTTCCTCGCGACGCGTGCCTTTCGCGCGATCGTCACGCGTGCTGCGACTTCTCGTGAGAGGGAGGTCAAGGGGAGTCCGGCAGACCTCTCGAGCCTCTCTCGCTGCTTGCTCTACTCCCTCCTTTTCGTCAAGGTGCCTCTGACTTGGCTACGTTACAGTGCGTGGACTGCCGTCTCGGTGAGCTGACGTTGTGTGTGACGCAAGGCTGCGTCTGTGAGACTGGTGAATACAAGTATATCTCAGCGAAGTTTGTGAAGCTGGTGTTGTACATTGACTGATTACTTTCATCATCATGGATTGGAGACTTGGATTGCTGGTGTTGGCCTGTCTTCTTGTTGACGGTGAGTGACTTCACCATCCGTGCATGGTTCTAGAAATACGTGTAGGGGTGTCGGGTGTACTGCTTAGGGGTGGTTCTAGTGCTGTGTCACTCGGTGCCGCAGTCGCTGCTAGAGTAGCGTGCGTCCGCTGGTATTAAAAATTCCAACCTATTCCGACCGTCGTCGTTTGTTCGATAACTCTCCCGGAACATAGAACTATCCGAACGCGCCGATGGGAGCCATCGCGGATTTTCTTTCCGGGGTATTTCAGCGGGCAGACTGAACGAGGCCAGGGATGGTTGGGCTTGCAGAAAAGTTATAACTGACAGGGATATTGTTCTCGTTCGGAGGTATAAGTTCTTTTTTTAGGACTCGTTGCAAGGACGTGAATTTTTCTTGCAATTTCGATTTTCTGTTGGTTCAGTTCCTCTCTCGTGCAGAGAAATTTTGTTGTGTTACTAATTCCTTGTAGATGTTACAATATTTGATTACAGTTTAACTACTGTAAACGAGAATTGTACAAGTTTGAACCGCTGTTTGAGAGGTTCCGCTTTACACGCAAATTTTCTTTTCTTTTACTAATTTCGAGGTTTTTCTTTTTGAGTTCATAATGAATTTTTCCTACAGTTGGAGAGGTTGGTTTCATTATTAATTTTCTTTTTTCTTGTAACATCAAATCACGGTGTCACAGCTATGTTCTGGTTGAATTACAGAAAGAATAAGATGGAGTTGAGCTTTGTTACACCCTCTAATTAAACTTTTATTTTCAGTTTCATAATGTCTGTGCAATTTTTATGCGACTAATTTTTTAAGTAATATCTCATTTTTATACTCGTCAATTCAAACTAAGAGTTACAACATTTAATTTATTTTACGGTAATTATCATTTTATGGTATTTTTTCCTTTTCATAAGCGAGGTATCATAATATGTGAAATATCGTAATATAATATGTAATATTCCGATTGTGGAGCCATTCATTTCGAAAGATAAATAGCGTAGAGTTTTCATCATTAATTCCCGCGTTTCAATACTATTCACAATAAGCATACCAAAACAAGTTCAACCTTCGAGTGCCTGGAAATTTCAAGAATTGGTAATCCCTGGATTTTCTTGCACAATAATTCCCAAACTAACGATATTAGTATACAAACGAACGACTGTAATATTAGTTTAATTTTTACTTGGCACTGAAATTTCGAAAAGATTAAAATATATTAATAAGATAATAATTTATAACATTGACAATTTTACTAACAACAAGTGAAATAATAATAACAATAATATGAATAATATGAATTATTTGTCGAGTCAATTTATTTTTGTTATTTATTATTATTAGAATTTGGTATTGTTATCGATACTTTACAATTTTCTATTTAAACATATTTACAAATAATTGATAATGATAACGACGAGCTGTAAATTGAAAGTAGCTCAGGATATGTCGAATAACATTTTAGAAATGAGCTACAATAGTCGTCCTTCGCAAGAAGAGTTTTGTTTAGACATAGTGTATAGAAAAAAAAAACTGTTTTTTTTTTCAGTTGACATAGAATGTCTCTGAACAAGTAGATCTCCACTCTTCTCTCAGTGGTAACAGCAGTTCACTATCACATTATATGTATTTTCATCGCCTATTTCGTTTAAAGAATTGATAAAACGTCGGCGAAATATTTTCGAAAAATTTCGAGAATCTCCATGTCCATTCTAAATACATTTCTCTCGCGATACGACGATAACTTGTTGAATTTATCGTGAAATTATTATTAGAAATTACGTTGCCTGAGTCTGATTGAATCACGCGAACAGTGAAAGATTCAATTATTAATAAAACCTCATCAGTAATATTACATCAGATTCTAATCAAAATTGCGCCAGTGATAACAAGCTGTCGAGAATTGGCCCCCCCCCCCTCCCTTTTGTTCCCTATCTTGTTTGTCGTCGACACGCGTCTTCTCGTTCCGCCGCGTTGCTCATTTCGAAAACTCATTTCGCGATACGGGGATAAACAACGAGAACCCAGAGCCCGGTACGTACCCAATTACCAACCTCTGTTTGAAAATTCCTCTGGAGGGAAGGTCTCTCCCTCTCCATCCTTCGCTTATTTCTGTAGTAGCTCGGAGCAATCATCGAAAAAAGGTTGAAGCCAGATCCGCGATCAGATCGTGGATAAGCGGGCGCTAGTATCGCGCGCTAGATCGATCAAGGGAAATGCAGAGCACACATGTCGTGCAGTTTCTCTCTCTCTCTCTCTCTCTCTTTCTCTTTCTCTTTCTATCTATCTCGCTGCGAGCTCCAATTTCTTGATGGCAGTGGATTAATATAATTTGAGAGGCCGCCCAGGGGGAATTATGCATCTCGTAGCTTGATCTTCTCGCGAACCTTCTCCCTCCTCCCCTGTTTCGTCTCGGCGCTTTCGATGTTGCTGATACGCGTCGCGTTGCGCGGCGAATTTGGCTGGATGAGGCTTGTTAACGAGTGTGTTTTATGAATATGGATGTGGCTCCGGTGTTGGTGTGTAGATCAACGACGGGACATTCACGGATCGTGCGGATGTTGGGATCGGTCAGTTTGGGGGTTAAGGGTGAGTCAGTGATTCTAGTAGATTTTTTTGGGATGTTTCCTTTAAACTCATTGAGTAACCCTTCGAGTGTTCAGAATTCTGAGCATGTGACAAATTAAGAATGCGTTCATCTTTGAATAATGTACCTGTATATGTTGTATTGTGCATTGTGTGTTGTACTACATCATGATATATTATTCTCTTTGAACTTCTGAACAAGTGAATCGATCATTTTGTTATAAGATTATGAGATTATTTGTACAGTGCTCCGGAAAACACTCAAAGGATTAGGAACCAAGCAGTGGTTTATCATAACGTTGGAAATGTTGCAGTTTCCTCTCGGTTTTATACGATTATCGATTCTGGCTAGAATTCTTGGAATTTTATTTCAGTAATAGGAAAAGGAAATGAGAATGAAACGTTGCGAGTGAAATCGTAAAATTATATTGAACACTGAAAACGAGTATAATTGAATTGCAATGCTGAATTATAAGCTTATCATTCGGTAATAGGAAATAATTTCCTTCGACGTAAAAGCACTTTTGGGAAAAACGAAAGGAAATTTGTCGAAAAATAGGGACTCGGCGCCTTTGAAGTCAGGCCAACTGTTTAGGATGTTGTTAAAATGAATCACGATCGATCGGAAACTTTTCACGAGGGGTTTTAGATCCGCGAGACATCCATTAAACCTACAAATTGATAACTTCGACTCTTGTTAATTCCATCCTGAAGCCACGTTATCACGCACGCAACCCAGTAATCCCCGAGTCACGAAGAACAGCATCTTTAACCTTGCTAACAAGCGTTAATCCGGGCTCTCCTCCCCGGAACGTCTCGAGACCCGTTAAACGTCGAGACAGAAGCGGTAATTGAACGTTATTATATCCTCGCGCCACAACCAGGTCCGCGATACTTCAGCCCTGGAAAAAAACTGCCGTCGCGCGTCGAGAGAATGAACGCTGCTTCTAGGACGCACTCGCATCTCCGTTTTGCATTTCTCCTGTTGTAGATTTTAGCGATGAATATTGGAAACCTTGGAACTTATCTACTTAACTTAAACCTAACCTAAATAACCTACCTACTTAACTTAAACCTAACCTAAACCATACCTACTTAACTTAAACCTAACCTAAACCATACCTACTTAACTTAAACCTAACCTAACCATACCTACTTAACTTAAACCTAACCTAAACCCTACCTACTTAACTTAAATCTAACCTAAACCTTATTTACTTAAACTTAACGTAAATTTAACTTAAACCTAACCTAAACCTTGACTTGGAGGTTATTTCGAATATGATTTGAGGTTATTTTGAATATGATTCAGATACATTTTTAATACTCGTATAAATAATCCATCGTCGTAACTACAACTTGTAGTTTATTAACCCTTTGACATAGAATGAGACGTCGTGCGTTTTATAGGGGCTATCGAATTATTAATCTGTTCTTTCATCATTTTTTATTATTAATTTTGTTTGTAAGTTTATGACAATTTGCAGTACAATTGTACGAGTGTAAAAATGATCTTTGTTAAGTTTGCATTTCTTTGGTCATATCGAATCTCAATTTGATTCGTATGTCAAGGGGTTAATAATGCAGAAACTTGCTTTTCGTCATATCGTGATTTATAACTCATATTACAATCATACATATATTAGAATTTACGACTATAACTTGCAGTTCGTTCGTAACGTATAAATAATGAGATTTCTTAGATTTCGTGAATGAAAACTGAAATATTCCTAACCTTAAAAATGAATCGCTCATTTGGATGTAAGGTTTAGGTTAGATTTAAGATAAAAATTAGGTTAGGTTAGAGATACGATAAAGATGAAAATTAGGTTAGGTTAGATAGGTGGAGGAGAGAGCTAAATGGAGCAAAAAATATATCACTCTATTGAAACAGATGGAGGTGATCCTCGAATGGCCTTGATCCTCTTCACTCTACAAAAAAGAATCATTACTATCATAATAGTACGAAGCTTTCTCTGTATTGAACAACTTTCGTTACTCCTTTTATTACATTTCTCTTCACGTTCTCCCAAAAGTGACAAAGACGTTCAACGTGATCGAATAAAATTATTTACCGCGTGAAAAATCACTTGTCACCTCTTGCGGTTGGAATGACGCGTCGACAATTTTTTTTTTCCCCCCAACAATTGCCCCAACATTCTCACAGTTTTAAGTATACATTTAAGTAATAACCCAGGCGAAGCAGATAATAAATTTACTGTTTCTCAATAATTTCCATCCATTGATGCCGCGCCGCGACGAGAGTTCAAGAGGAAAGCGACGAATTGTTGTATATACGGTTCGGTCACTCGTTACGGTCCGCAGCGCAAGCGGTCAAATGTTAAATTGTCCGCAGGCAATTGTCCTAATGTGTCTCCGTTGCAAATTCCATTCCAAAAATCGCCATGTCTCGCGCAATCAGGCGAAGAGGGACACGA